TGAGGAATCTAAAATATAAGACCTATTTAAGAGTTATTTCACACTTTTTTGTTAAGTACATAATTCCATATGTGTTCATTCATAGTTTTGATGCCTTCAGTGAGAATCTACAATGTAAATAGTCATGAAAATAAAGAAAACACATTGAATGAGTGTGTCCAAACTTTTGGCCTGTACTGTATGTGACCTATAACCTGTCCAATTCAATTTGAAAACAAACTGAAATGTTTTCGGGGTGAAAAATAAAATAAAAACAAAAAATCTTTTTGTGTAGGAGTCTATCAGCAAAATAAAATTCCTGTTCCTCTACAGCTTTAGAGCAGACTCCTAAAGGTTTTGTGCAAACTTTTATTTGGAACTGTTCATCATTCCCTCCACCTTGATTAAGGCCCCAGTTCCAGCTGAAGAAAAACAGCCCCAAAGCATGCTGCTGCCACACCATGCTTCACCATGGGTATGGTGTTCTTCATCAGACCATAACACATTTGCCAACATGCTTTTGACAGACTTGATGTATATTTTTGCAAAATTTAGCATGGCTTGGATGTTTTTCTTCATAAGAAAAGGCTTCCGTTTTGCCACCCTACCCCAAAAACCAGACATATGAACAATACAGGAGATTGTTATCACATGTAGTACACAACCACTTCAGATCCTCGGCTAGGCTGCTTTTCACAGCATCTAAGTGAGAAAGAAAACAACAACTGAAATGTAAAAACAAAAAAAAAGGGTGGTCAAATGCAAAGTATACAGTTGTGTTTTTCCTACTTGTATAGCATTTCTACCTCAGGATGTTCCCCAGGGCACCAAGAATCATTTGATGAACACAGGAACTAAACCTGCATTTTGACTAGAAGACGTGAGATGAGTATGAGTTCCTGGAGAATTGTTCCTGGTGTTGTTTATTATATTAAAAACAAACTAAGCATTCAGACAGGACTCCAAACGTCAGATTATCCCCGGAAATTATCTGATAATATGGCCTTTACAATTTATTGCCTACAAATTAGCAATATCTTTCATTGTAAGAGGATCTATTTTCCATCACTTATAAAATATGTACAAAGCAATATTGAGAAATACCCTTCAGCCAAATGAAGACAACATAATACAACAAGAAAATGATCTGAAAAGAAGGAAAAAAAAACTAATACTACTATAATACGGTTACTTGTAACTCAAACTGTGGAATTGAAAAAACCTGCAAATCCACAAAATTTGACTATACATGGAACTGATACTTAACCTGTGATACTTGATCATTGAATACTCATCACTTTGTGTAGTGGAAAATGTTTAAAAATGGTTACATGTGATCTATGATCAGTTTCATATCACTTTCTGTGATATATTAATATTATAAATACAAAAACAAAGAATGTCTATCGAACAGACAACAGACAGTTGCGACTGCAAACCAGTGTCACCTGGCAGGAACTAATATAGGAAGTATAGAGGGGAGACAACATACATGCATATTATCCTCCAAAATTGGAATTACAGACTTCTCTTTCGATTCTACAGTTGTTGACCTGTGCGCAGCACATTATTTGCTCAACCTCTCCGTGCCCCACTCACTCTCTATCTCTTTCGCTCACTCCCTCTTTCTCATTCACTCACTCACTCACACGCACACATACACAAAAGCATATTGACAACAGACCCGTCTGTCAATTGGCTAATAAAGCAGGGACGAGAGATCCAATCACAAGTGCTCAATCGAGACATATGCGGAGACGCATTTTAAATCCAGGTGTGAACTGACGACTGAAGACGCATCTTAATACCAGGTCTGAACAGGGCCATAGAAAGACTTGAGAGTGAGTGAGTGAGTGAGTGAGTGAGTGAGTGAGTGAGTGAGTGAGTGAGTGAGTGAGTGAGTGACTTGGTGGTATGTGTGTTTATGCTGTCTATAGTCTATATGTGTATTTGTATATGTGTGTATAAGTGTGAAAGTGTGCATCTGAAAAGGATGTTAGTAGGAAAAACATACAAAACACAGTTACTTCGCAAACCATGACCAGCTGTGTGTGCGGCGATAAATTCCGACCGGGCTGCAACATTTGTATCAGCTACCAGTTCCACGTTGTTCTCCTTTGTAGTTTTAGTACAGCGTGGTATATGTGGACCATTGAAAGAAAGAACTACAACAGGGAACCAATTTACATTGTGCTGTAAGATAATTTCATGCCGCCTAAACGTAAGCTATTTAAAACCTAGTATGTAAAACCTTGACGTTTTTAAGACTTTTCAAGGCCTAGACTTTTCATGACCCTTGGAAACCCTGCTGAAAAGAGCTTTCCAAATTAAACTAATACAAATGTGTGTTATTGTGCATCCTACAATGAGATCCTTTGATGCTGTCTGTGCTCTTTGTGGACCATGGCTTTCTCTGTGAGATTCAACTGAGTAAGTGTCAGGAAAATCCACAGAACAGCTGAACTTTATTTGGGGGGGTCACTTTAATTGATGGCAGGTGTGTACTGATTACTATTTAGCATGAGTTTGAATGTGATTCTGAACACAGCCTCATCCCCGATTATAAAAGGTTGTGCACACTTCTGCAACCACATTATTTTAGTTTTTTTCCCCCTAAATGATTTCAGTTTGCTTTCAATTGAATTGTACAGGTTATAGGTCACAGTAAAGGTGGAACATGTTCTGAAATGACTTATCTTGCTCTAATTTTTTTTTACATCACAGAAACCTGGCATTTTAACAGGGGTGTGTAGACTTTATATCCACTGTACGTCTGCAGGTGACAAATGACTGAAGTATATGGATACATTTTATGATGATGTGTAATGCTGCTCAATGTAAACTAAAGATCCACTATTGATCTGTTATTCAGTGTTGTCACTACGATCAAGCTAAAGTCAAATTTGATGAAATTTTTACTTTTAAAGGGAAGAATATGCATCAATTATCAATTACTCAGATTAACAAGTAGTATTGTGACTGTTAATTTTCTGTAAAATATATTTTAATGTAGCAGTGATGTCATTTCACAGAGCATCAGCAGCTTCTCGTTTTTCACCGAAAATTCTGGTTTAATTTGACATTATTTTGTGTCATCAACCATGTGAAAGGTTGTGATGGTGATTTCCTCTGCTGCAGGTGTGGATGACACTATCACAACCAATCACAATCATATCACACACAGGAAATAAACATGTTCCCCAGTTCCAGTAAATATATAATGTAAATGTGTGTGTTCACAGTGAGTTCAGGTAGAACTGAAGATGTCACTTCAACTCAGTCAGTTAGGAGGTTCTGGACTCCACCACTGGTTCATCCCAAAAGACTGAGGACAGACCTGGACCTGATCCTTCAGATCTACAGGTCAATATTAACTCTTTGTAGGACCTTGAACTATTGTCAGCTGTAGCTGCTACAAACCTGGACCTGGACCCGAATCTGGACTCCTAACACAGGTGACTGTGCTCAGAAGTCAGTGATGTCATTCTGCCACCTGCTGGTCAAATGGCCACATGAGGCAAAGTTCCTGGAAACAGTGAAAGGTAAAGTGTACAGAGGTGGGAGCTCACATGTGTTTATTAAAGCTCTGTACTTCAGTATCTTTGCCTCAGTGCACAATCAGTGCATCCTATAGTGTCCCATTGAAATGAATGGGAATTTGGTCTTAGTCTTTTGGATCCCAGCATGTACAGTACACAGCATAAATGAGTACACCTCCTCTGAACATGAAGAAACATTTTTTTTTCCTAAATGAGAAAAGAAATAAGTAAATTAGGCAGCTTTGCTTAAATCTAGGGTTTCTTGATGAGTACACCCCTGTAATATTTTAGTACTCAGTATGTCCTCCCTTACTTTTAAGAACTGCACTGACCCTTCTTGGTATGGAGTGTACAAGTTCACAACATATTGTCCCCATTTAAGAACTTAACCACCGCCATACTTCACTGTGGGAACCATGCACTTCTCACTGTAATCGTCCTCCTTGTGACACCATACATTTTGGATGCCATCAGATCGAAAAGGATTGACTTTGGTCTCATCAGACCAGAGTATAGATTCCAAAAGTCTCCACCTTTGTCAATATGGGCCTTGGCAAAGGCTAAACAGGCTTTCCTGTGCTCTGGCTTCAGCAGTGGCTTCCTGCGTGCACGACAGCCATGCATTCCACTTCTGTGTGGGGTGCGTCTTACTGTGAGATGAAACAGTCATTCCAGTTTGGTCTGAGGCACTTGCTTGCCGATTCTCTTGCACTTTTCTCAACAAAACTCGCTCATCTCGAGGTGAAAGCTTACGACAACCAGGACGTTTCCATCCTTTTTGAATTTCTGTATCACTTTTGCTACTGTGTCCAGACTTAATAACATTGATTTGCTAATCCTCTTGTACCCGTGCCCTTTTCTGTGCAATGAAATAATTCTGTTTCTCAAGTCTCCAGACAGTGCTCTCCCATGTGGTGCCATTGTTGTCAGCATTAAGTGTGAGAGCAATTGATTGGGTTAAGTACCACTTTGTCAGCCAATTACACCTGTTTGAGTGGGATGGTTCAACAGACTCGCCTGGTGAGTTTGGTGCCCTTAACGAGTACCAAAAAAGTTTTATTTTGTAACTTTCAGAAGGCTGCACTCACATTTTACCATTTTGACAAGGAAATCATATTTTCCTGTTAACATATATCATTGGTAACTGATGTAGGAGAGTTCTCAGAACATTATATCATATAGGAAACCCAAATATGTCTTACTTGTAAAGAGAAAGCACTGGATTCAGTATATCTGTCTCTACCTATAAGCAGGTCCTCTGCTGTCAGAGTGTGGGGAGCTGTGGGCGGGGCCTCGACTCTGGTGATTGGGGGAGAGGGGGCTGTTCAAACAGTTTTTAACATGAACATAAAGGAGATTTTCAGAATATTATGCAACATATGCACTTATGATGACAACTGATGAAACCTCACTCAGTGCCTATGATAGGCCTCAGCCTGTGGTTTAACACACTGTAAACACACTTGTTTAATGGTTGTGTCACCTTTATTTTTTTTTATTTTTTTACATACACACGTTTGAACATTTGAACAGGTGAACAATCTACAACAATCACCGCATGCAGGCACCTCCCCCTCCAGCATCGTCTATAACCTTTATGAAGAAGAAAGAATCTAAAGCAGCAGCAGCTCAGTAAAGTGCACATCTTCACTCTGATGAAGGGTCGTGTGGCAGCAGACCCACCTGTTCACATAGCAACAGTCTATAGTTTCAATCAACCAGGACTCACTCAGACCCAGGACCAGGACCCAGACCATCCAGTCTGATGTGTCCTTGTTTCCAATTGAAAGGCAGATTATTAAATTACATTATATACACGCCTCAGAAGCGGACTGCTGTTGTTGGCCACACGCACATCTCCATCATATGTGGCTATAATTATCATTATTAATATCACATGTAGCGGCGGTTTCCTAACCACACACACATTCAGTGCAACAAAAAGAAGAAGTGTGAGAGTTTAACAGGAGGAAGCAGAGATGATACACACAAAGTCTTCTCTAACACAGATGTTTTACACATGAAAACATCTGTCAGCGTCAAAGCAGATAATGTGATGATGATGATGATGATGATGATGACACATCAGCTGAGTCACAGCCTTCATTTCACACTAACATCTCTGGTACATGAGGTTATTAAAGATCAGTGTAAAATCAACTTCAGTGCTCTAAATATTACACCTGACTAAAACCATGAGTTCATCTTTATGTTCCTTATTGTGTCCTGACACGTGTTCTTCCTCTGAGTTCGGCCAGGAACACACGCAACAGAAAATAGTCCCCAACCAAAGCACATCTTCTGTTGAACTCATGAAGACTGAAGTGCAGCTGCAGGTTTTAAGGATGAACATATTCTATATCTGAGAGGTGTTTTAAAGATCTATGTCTTCAGTAGGAACCAGTGTTGTTGCAGCTCGAGGACTCAGAGTGGAGGGACTGAGGGGACATGTAGTTCTGGAGAGACCAGGACACATATTGTTCTGGAGATACCAGGACACAGACTGGGGGGACATGTAGTTCTGGAAATACCAGGACACAGACTGGGGGGACATGTAGTTCTGGAGAGACCAGGACACAGACTGGGGGGACATGTAGTTCTGGAAATACCAGGACACAGACTGACAGGACATGTAGTTCTGGTTTTATACAACAGTAACATGTGTACAGAACCAGACCTCCTCCACTCAGGGTCTCCCTCCACTCACGTCAGATGTACAGACTGTCCTGTCCCTCTGACGACAATGATGTTGGTTCCTCTCTTCGTCCTACAGTTCAGAAGCAGCAGCAGCAGTTCAGTCCGTCTTCACTTGCTGTGGTGGAGGTACTGCTGAGTGAACATGTTGAGCTCACTGTCCAGCCAGCCCGCCTTGTTCCTGAGACACACACACACAAACACAAATAATGTCCACATGTGAACATTCAGATCTATTAGGTTAAGGAAACAGCTCTACTGATTCAAAATACAGCTTCTTCACTTCACCACCACCAGTCTCCATGACAACACGAGGACAGAGTCTCCACACTACAGAGTGCAGAGACCGAAAGGTGCGGACAGGGACAGACAGAGACACTGAGCTCAGTGTAGTGTATGAGCCAGTGTAAGAATGTGGCCTGTTCACTCACAGTAAACCTAGTGGCATGTGAGTAGCTTACACAGTCTCTAACAGAGAATAACACCATGTGACCCTCAGTAAAATCAGTTTGCTTCGTAGTCTCTGCGTGATTAGACTCAGAGAGAGAGAAACAGCGAGTTATTCAGACACAAATATCTATAAATCTGTTATTGTCATTTATTCCCATGATGCTCCTCTCACGCCGTGTGCACGCAGGCAGGTGTGTGTCTGTGGCTCTGCAACTTTCTCATCTTTCAATAACAGGTTTTTAGGTTAGTGCTTTTATAACAATCATGAATGTAATTGTGCTCAGCACAAATCTAGTGAGATGATTTTACATTGTTGTTTAAGATCATTAAAGAAGAGGAAGCTGAGAGCGTTCTTCATGGAGAAACAGGCTGTATTTGAATGAAAGACAGGAGCCCTGTCTTTGTTGTACAGCTCAGTGTGGGTGAAGGTCAGAACAGAGTCAACTCCACTTCTTACATTTTTTACTGTGTTTTCAAAGAACGAGTGGCACTTTTTTTACCCCTTTTTTACAACTCAACAAAAACAAAAACAAAGAGTAGAAGAAAATAAAAACCAGCAGCCAGCTCACACAAAGAGTGGACACATGTATTTCAGTCTGTACAATTACTGATCTCTACTGACCACCTGTAGACATGTCAGAGGTCGATGGAGACGTTTCCACTGAGATTATAACCTTGGAAGTGGACAGTCAGAGTATGAAGGAAGCTGATTAGCTGACCAAAGATTGAAAGCAGCACAGTGTTAATGTGAAAGACTGAGTTGTTTGATGCTGCTGCCTCAGTGTAAGACCAGGAGTACGCTGATGTGTGGCGGCTGCAGAACGCCTTGATTTTCAGCTTCACTGTAACAGCTTAGAGAGGACTCACTGCGTCTCACGCCTCACGGCTGTGTCACGTGATCTAGAGATTTGGCCTCTCGCCTATTTTCACGTGTGACACTTCTCCAGCAGAAACAGACAGAGATAAGACCCGATGATGTCACAGTGACATCATACCAGCAACATTACATAAAACCGACACCTTCACTATAGTTTCTATGTCTAGGTTGAATCTGAATATGACACAGACATGAAAATATAAATATACACTACCGGTCAAAAGTTTTAGAACACCACACTTTTTCCAGTTTTTTACTGAAAATTATTCAGTTCATTGTGTCATTGCACTCTGAAATGAAAGAATAGAACAAATAAGCAATTTGAGTTGAAAAAATAATCAATTTATAGACCAAAATGTATTCTAAACTTTTGACTCATCAAGTAGCCACCTTTGGCAGATATAACAGCTGAACACACTCGTGGCATTCTTTCTACAATAGAAATCAAATATTCTTCAGAAAGTTCTTCCCAAGTCTGTTTCAGAAGTTCCCATAAATGTGTGGCACTTGTAGGTTGCTTGGCTTTCACTCTTCTGTCCAGTTCATCCCAAACCAGCTCGATGGGGTTTAAGTCTGGAGACTGTGCTGGCCACTCCATGTTTTCAAACTTACCATCTTGTCCTTTTTTCCTGAGGTAGTTTTGGCATAGCTTGGACTTGTGTTTTGGGTCATTATCTTGCTGTAGGATGAACCTCTGACCAACTAGGCGCATACCAGAGGGTATTGCATGGCACTGCAGAATGCTGTGGTAGCCGTATTAGTTCAGGGTGCCGCTCACTCTGTACAAGTCACCGACCCTGGATCCAGCAAAACAGCCCCAGACCATCACACTTCCTCCTCCATGTTTGACAGTTGATGTCACACACTGTGGAACCATCCTCTCGCCTACTCGACGGCGTACAAACATCCTGCGTGATGAACCGAAGATTTGAAATTTTGATTCATCAGTCCATAATACCTTCTTCCAGTCTTCAGTAGTCCAATGGCAGCGTTTCGTGGCCCAGGAGAGCCTCTTTGTCTTATTCTGACATCTTAGCAATGGCTTTCTTGCTGCAACTCGTCCTGTCAAACCTGCAGCTCGAAGTCTTCTCTTCACAGTTGAAACTGAGACTTGCTTACTACGACCACTATTAAGCTGTGCTTGAATCTGTTGTCCTGTGAGCCGCCTTCACGCAAGCTGTTAACTCTCAGAAACTTGTTCTCTGATTCAGTTGTGGCTTTGGGTCTGCCAGACCACTTCCTGTCAGAGTTTCCCCCAGTTTCTGAGTGCCTTTTGATGGTGAAGAAAACTGTACTCACTGACACCTTGACTTTCTTTGCAATTTCCATGTAGGAAAGACCTACATTTTTAAGTGTTATGATGGTCTGTCTCTCTTCCATTGTTAATTGCCTTTTTCTCGCCATTTTTGTAGCAACACACTACTTTCTGCAGTACAATACTGTTCACCTGATGCTCATGAGGGTCTGGTACCACAGTGTGTTCCAACACTGCTTTTATGCAGACAGAGGGGGTTGTATGTTATCAAGAAAAGTTGGAACATCTGTAGGAATTAGTAGCCACATCTTTCAAGGCTGATTCAACCTTCATTGCTACAGAATTGTTAACCCACTTCGTGTTCCCTGAAAAAGGCCTTTTTGTATAATTCTGAAATGTACATTATTTTTCAGTTTTGGGTAACCAAACCTTTTTTTTTAACCTCTGGCTGTTCAGTACTTACCTTTGTACCATTTCAAGCTATTCATTGGACTTGCACGACTTGAATTGCAATAAATAACTGGAAAAATTAGGGTGTTCTAAAACTTTTGACCGGTAGTGTAT